TAACTCAGTTTTTTTCCTGTATCCATTGCTTTACTTATTTTGCATGCAGCTTATTTCCTTTTTATGGTTTGATCGTTAGTTAGCTTTAACATCAATAGACTTTTAGCCGCTGGTACCCAACATTCTGTTTTCTGTTTCTGTGTGTTTGACTACGGTAGGTACCTTATATAAGCTGGTATGGGTTTTCTCTGTTTTCATGTATACAGTATGTTTTCTGCCAGTCTCCCCTTAAACAAAATGGCCAGTTGGAAGGCCTGTTTGTTAGTTGCACTTATTGTCCTGCAAACTTTGCTAGCATTAATTATATTGTTTAAACTTTAGAAATGACTAATGCTAATAGCATAACTATCAAAATTCAGGAGACATAGAGAATAGTGAGTGAATTCCCATTTTTCACAGCACAGGGATATATCTGACAGATAATATCTAAAGCTTTAAAATACATCAAGAAATAGCGGTTCTAGTCTATTACTTGGTCTTTTCATGGTAACCACAAAAATAACTAAAAAGAAACTTAAAATGACCTATAAGCAAACTGAGGAAAAGAAGAGGCAGTTAGGATCATTGTTTTCCATTGTTTTCCCTTCTGTACTATTTTTTAAAATCATAAGCATGTATTTCTTCAAAAAAAAATAAATTGCAAATAAAATGATGAAAACAGGAGAAAAGGTAGGAAATTTGGAAGTAAAAAGAAAAAATGAATTTGAATTCTAAAAATAAAAATTCAAATATTCATTTATATGTACTAAATTTCTTGGACAGAAGAACACTGTTGCCAAGGAGACCAAAGCAACTGTTCAGCTCTTTAAAAAAAATCCATGGCAATTTATTCTGCATAATATTACATCCTCCTCCAGCTTTATAAAAGCCAATAAAATGGTTTTAATGAGGGCCTTGAAACTTAGCTTATGTTGTCACTAACATGTATTAAACATTTGCTTTATGGAGTCTACCGCAGTGATAAAAATACAGTAAAAGTCAGATGACCTAAGTTTGAGTCCCAATTTTACCACTTAAAAGCCATATCTCCTTGAGCAAGTCACTTTTCTTTTATGAGCTTAAGTTTCTTTACTTGTAAAAATGGGGATAACTACTACCTGCCTAACACACTGTTGCTATGAATAGCAAACTAGACTTAGAGCATTTTACCAAAGTTGAAACACTACAGAAATAAATTCAAGGAATAAGGACTAGCATTTCCCAAAAGTAATAAAGTCATATGTATATGTTCCGCACTCTTCATTGATTAAATGCCAAATTCAGTATTAGAAAAATATGAACAAAAAATGTTATATAAACTAGTATTATAAAAATTGGATTGAACTAGGTGGCAGATCCAAGCGCCCATCTAAGCTCCGTAACTGGATAATGTCCACAATTTCTTTGGGTCTCCATACAATGACCCTGGAGTAGACCACCTTTGTCGAGGAATGTCATGGGTATATTTCCCATCACATAAGGATGATTTAAAAGGAAATTCACTCATCACCTTTTCTACCTGGGCTACATTACGAGGCACAGAAAATCATGCGAGTGACACTGAAAAAAACTTCTACCGTTAGACTAATGTTTGAATCACTGGCCTAGATTGAAGTATTTTATTTCCATTTTCAGGCTTTTTATAAGCTTGTGCTACCTTGAACTTTACATGATACTCTTTCTCAACACAGACCTACATTCTGAGACCAGAGTGCTCTACTTGCTATTTCTTAAAATGCCATGGCCAATTCCTGCCTCCACATCGTTGTCGATATATAGGAAGTTCAACACCTTTGTGGCAGCTGCTATAGCAGGCTGAGCAGCTCTGCCCTATGTCCCAGCTCTATTCCCCATCCAGCCACTGACCCATCCACTTTGCCAGTGCCTAACATCTTACATATAGGACTGCTTTTAAAAAGAAAATTAACAATGCATAAAGAACAGGACATATTATATTGAGAGAACCTGGCTTCTGGGCCAGCACAACTTGTCTATAATTTGACAGAATGTATGAAAGTACTGAAAAAAAGAACTAGAAAGGAGGTGAGTGACTTAGGCCCAGAGCATAGAAGGAGAGAGCACTGTAGTAGAGTCATCTGTTCACCGCCTGGAGGAGAAATGCCTTGATCTAGGACTTTTGGGTTCTAGTGGTAAGATAGTCCCATTGTGGAGATGTGTGCATTTACTTATTACAGGTTGATGCTGTTAAATGTTTGTGTCATATATCTGACTCCCTGTGATTTGATTTCACGACCACTAAAAATCTTCTTTTGACTTCTCCTATGGTGCATCTAGAAAATGCCCTGAATAGAAACAAATCTACTTAGCTATTACATCTGTACCATACATTAATAAAACATTCTGAATTCAGACATCAGTTTCTGTGACATTGAGCACAGTGAGTCCATCCTGAGACAAGGTAGGCTAACAAATTAGGCTGAAGGCTCAGGAACTGGAAGGTCACATTCTGGACTTGTAAATTTACCAACAGAAAGCCACCCCATAGAAACTACGTGGAGTACCCCAAACTGCCCCAATAAACAGCCCATCTTGTTGCATTGTTTTCTTTTTAACATTTACACGCACACCTGTGTGTATTTAAGCCCTTCAAAACATACTAAAGCCCTTCTATGACCTGGTCTTTACATATCCTTCCAAAATTTTCTATGTACCCTGAGCAACAGCAGAAATAAAAGTTCTTAATACACACATTAAAATTTCTCTCTATGCTTGTCATAGTTCTCCTTATGTTAGCAAGTCTAATTTTAACTAATTCTGAAAGTTCAAGCACAAATAACATTTTTTCATAAAGACTTTTCAAATACACCAACCGAGACTAAGATTAGTAATTTTAGTGACCAACGCAAGTAACACATTGACCTCTAATCAATTTATAACTGATTATTTGCCTCATCTGAGTCACGAATAATTGGTGGCAGTTGGTTCCTTTTTTAATTAAATAGGTATTCATCAGGTGTTAAACTCAGTCTCTCTATGTTAAAAGACTACCCATGTCATCAATGTATAATGTAAGAAATGCTATGAGTCTGATCTTTACATTTCTGCACTCTAAATTTCAGTGCCCTGAGGCATAGTCTAGCTTCTCTATAGTATCAATCTACAGTAGATATGATTTCTCCATTAAATATATTCTCTCCTATTAAGAAAGGATCAATGAAGAAATTTATTATATTTATTAACAAATTACTTAAATCTATTCCTCTGTTAAGGATACTTATTACTTGCCCCTATTATTTATGCTTTTCTTTCCCTTCTATGTTCTTTAACGATATGATCCATATCTATTTCATCTTTCTGTCTCTCACAGGTTTCAGCCAATGCCTTATATTCAGAGGCACTTTAAATACAAATTAAGAATTTATCTTCCACTTTTGATGAATTTTTATCTTCATTATTTTTATTTTATGTTGTTTTGCTTTATTTATTTTTGAGATGGAGTCTCACTCTGTCACCCAGGCTAGAGTACAGTGGAACGATCTCAGCTCACTGCAACCTCTGCTTCCCGGGTTCAAGTGATTCTCTGGCCTCAGCCTTCGAGTAGCTGGGACTACAGGCATGTGCCACTTCACCTGGGTAATTTTTTTTTTTTTTTTTTTTAGTAGAGACAGGGTTTCACTATGTTGGTCAGGCTGGTCTTGAACTCCTGACCTCAGATGATCTGCCCGCCTTGGCCTCCCAGAGTGCATTACAAGCGTGAGCCACTGTGCCCAACCTCTCTTCATTCTTTTTCAGGGGCTGGGTGAGGTGGTTCACACCTATAATCCCAACACTGGGAGGCTGAGGTGGGAGAATCCCTTGAGGCCCAGAGTTCAAGACAAGCCTGGGCAACACAGTGCGACCCCATTTCTTAAAAAAAAAAAAAAAAATTATTTTTTTAATTAGCTGGGCATGGTGGCATGTGCCTATAGTCCCAGCTACTCAGCAGGCTAAGGCAAAAAGATCACTTGAGCCCAGGAGTTCAAGGCTGCAGTGGGTGCAGCGAGCTACGATTGTGCTACTGCACTCCAGCCTGGACAACATGGAGAGACCCTGTTTAAAAAAAAAAATCAATCAGGAGACTCAGTAGGAAAAGTATAGTTAAAACTGGCACCTAAAGAAAACAAAGTTTTGCTACTCCAAGTGTGGTCCACAGACCAGCAGCATTAGTATCACCTGGAAATTCATTCTTAGGCAGAATCTGAGGCCCCACCCCACGCCTCCTGAATCAGAATCTGTATTTCAAGATCCCCAGGTGATCTGTAAGCACATTAAGGTTTGAGAAGCATTAGACTGTAGAGAAAGAATTATTCGTTCAATATACATATGACCAATTAACACCAAATACCTCATTGTAACTGCTTATTTGTTGGTCTTCCTCATCTGCTGAGGCTTGTTGAGGGCAGGAACCCTTTCTATTTTCCTCACAAGTATTTCCTGGGTCTAACAAGACCTAAAACACACACTTGGCATTCAATATTTTTTTGCTGAATGAATGAATGAACAAAGTAAAAACAAAACTTTCAGAAAGAGAAGCCTTAAGGAAATTCATTTGTACAACATGATGTCACATAATACCATACAAATTCCTTAATTCAGTGTCATTAATTCCATTTTAAATGTGCTGCCTTCTCTACTTCAACAAAGGTATTTTATGCACTTGACAAAGCAAAAGCTTGGATTATCTTCCTTTGTTGGAGCCACCAGGGACCTCTTTTACAAGTAAGATAGCTGCATTTTAATTCTGATTGTCACAAATCCATCCCAAATGCCCGCATAAGGTTTAATTACCGCAACAATTTGGAGGTGGGGGCGGAGGGTGGGTGGGGAGGTGTTGGTAGAGAAGTAAGGGTTAAGGCAAAAACAATCCTGTATTAAGAGTACCATATGAAACCTGGAAAACACGATTCCTTGAACAGATTAATTCCAGAAAATAGCTACCAGCAGGAGAAAGAAGAGGTAAGCGCCTCGCCTTTCCCAAGAGCAAAAGGTGATACTAGAAAATACCAAGGATAGAAGACCAGCGACTACCTAGCGACAGAAGGAGGAAACACACCAGACCAGAACTAAAGCAGATAGCGGTTAGAAACGCCCAGTAAGGGTGCCAGAAACCACTTTCAGGTTTGTGGAGAAGGAAGTCAAGGGAGAAAAAGGGAAAGGAAATCGTTGTTTAGGGTATAACTTACAATGATTTTTTTTTTTTTTTTTTCTTTTTGGAAGAAAGAGGGAAGACAGCACTTGAAGGGAAAGAGGATAAAGAAGAGGAAGGGAGGTTACAATTGAGAGCACCGCAGAAGGAAGCGATGCAGATGTTCGGCTCTGGCGGACCGAAGGAGGAACCCCATGCATAGGTGGGTGGCAACGCCCTGCTCCGCTGCCCCCCGCCCGGTGTCCCGAGCCATCTCCTCTGCAGCCCGTGGGGCGCTGGGTGGGCATAGGAAAGAGCAGACTATGTGGGGGAGGCGACGGCGGATGCTGGGCTGACCAGGTACCCACCTTATCCCAGCGGAGCCACTGCCCGATGGCCATGTCCAGCTGAGGGTCCCCGGTGTGGTAGGGGGCGTGGAGCAGGTTGGAGTTCAGATCCCCCTCTGTGTTTTCAGCCATGGCGACCAGACAGGTGTACGGGCCGGGGGCCGGCGAAGACACTGAGTTGGGGTGGGGGGTGTCCTGGGGTTCGCTCACCAGGGTCCGGGCGTCCCCACCTCACTGAAGGGCATTGGAGACCAATCGCAGGGTGTTTGTAACAGCTCCTGCTGCGGCGTCAGGGAACCGGGAGAGAGGGGGTTTATGGCCGCCTGCTCCCCAGCGGACCAGCTCGGGGTCTCTGGGCGAAGTGACTGAGGCGGTCGCGCCGCGAGAGAACAACAACAGTCCCAGATGTCTGGGTCCTGGCCCCGCCACCGCCGCCGCCGCCGCCGCCTGCACTGCCTACGGCCCCGCCCCGCGCCTTAGGCCCCGCCCCTTCCCGCCTCTGCTAATTTAAGTCCGCGAAGCTCTAGACTGGAGTCCGGGAGCGCGCTCCCCACGACTCCGAAGTAGCATGGGTTTACAGCCCGTCCGGGTGGTTAGGCAGTAATGCACGGTTATTTTTATTTTTTAATTTGCCATGGGTCTCCTTTCCTCGATCTGCTCTCACGGCTACCACTAGCAAGCTGCCTTCGCGCTTGCCCTGCAGATCCCAGCGCGCGCGCAGACCCCCAGTTTCTCTTGGGGGCACGCGCCGGTTGTGGGAGGAGGGGCTGTGCGAGCTGTCCGCGCACTGCTTCACGGGAGTTGTAGTTCTTTCCTTTGAGCTCAGCGGAGCCCGCCGCCGAGACTACGACTCCCAGCAGCTCCGAGCCCTCCCTTTCCTCAAAAGAAAAAGATCTACTTCGAGGTAGTTCCCTATGGACGCCCTATCCCTATTAGTTATGCTGCGGTATGTGGCCCTGGCATTAAATTAAACAAGGAATGACATAGTAAGGGGGCAAAGTGGTATTCGTTTAGTGCTGTGCAGTTTACGAGTCGCATTCTATCGCTTCAATCCCTCAGTAAGGTAGAGGGGCGTGGTCCTTTCCCGTCTCACACACAAAGAAGAAACTGGCTCCCTGAGACAGTCCTCTTCTAAGAGGCCGAGTTCGTGAGCGGTCAAACTAGGGTTCGAGTCTCATTTCAGATTCCCTCGGCTGGCAGTTATTTTATTAGGTCGGTGCAAAAATAACTGCGGTTTTTGCCATTAAAAATAATGGCATTAAAAGTAATGGCAAAAACGGCAATGACTTTTGTACCAACCTAATAGCTCTGCTGCTACAATAAACTAGGAGGTAGGGCGAACAAGATTACTGTAAAATAGATGAGGAAGTTGTTGAGGGAAGATGGGTCGACATTTAACCTTGATATAAGAATGTATAAGCATCACAAGATACCAAGAGCAATGGTAATGGGAATACAGAGGAAGAGGAAATTGGTTCACTCAAATTGAAATAGTCTTCCGTTACTTCTTAGCCGCCTCTCCTATGGAATGCTCACCTAACTTGAGGTGTGGGAAACGCTGAGAAGTGCTGACCTGTCAGCCACCTAGCTACTCCTCCATTTCTTGGTTTGGCCTTCTTAGAATGGCTATGATTTTGACCAAGTATATTACAACTCTTTCCCTAGTCAGCTTTTTTGTGAGGAGGGTATGATAATATTTACATCATGGCTGTACAGTAACTTAGTAAATGGCATTAGTCTGCGTTTCACAGATAAAAGACATAATAAGTTCAAAGTATTACTTTATTTCCTTTAAAGTGCCATTTAAACTACCAAGGTACAAAAGGATTGTGGTTCCAGTTTCTGAAAAACATGCCATAGTTGGAAGTTGCAGTTTTTGCTAAGTGATTGTTTCTTTTGTGGAGTCGGCAGGACTCTTGTTCTTTTAATTACACAAGGCCTGGGAAACAATCACGTGTCCTGGAGAGAAATTCATCTTCCACTACCATCACCATTATTGTCCGTGATACATTTACTCTCTGTTAAGCATTATGGTAGGAGCTGAGGCTACAAGAATCTATATAATTGTTCATTTCGAGAAATAACATCTAAGGAGACAGGATATATGTAAGAAAAGAAAGCCCATGATAAATAGCAAATGCTGCCAACAACTGTTAATGCATTTACATCTGAGGTGGTCAATGAAAAAAGCATCAAGCAGGAGGGACCTGCACTAGGCTTTCAGAAACAAAATAAACATGTTGAGAATAAGATAGAGGATATTTCAAACCCATAGACTAGTGGTTTTCATATCTCCCTAGGAGTTTGTTTAAATTCATATTCCTGGACACTGCCTCCAGAGATTCTGAATCAATAAATAGGGCCCAGGTACCTGCATATTTGAAATATCTATTGACTGTCACAGGGGTGGCCATAATCTCACAGCTCAAAGTGTGATTAGGAGGACCACTGTGCTGATGTCCTCTGGAAGCTTTTTAAGAAATACAAAATTTCAGACTCCACTCCAGTTCTGCTGCATCAGAATCTACATTTTAACAAGATCCAGTGATGATTTATATTTAAATTTGTTAAAAAGTGTTTTTTTATAAGACAATTCTTATTCATTCATTTCTGAGAAACACTACCAAATCAACAGAGCTTTCAAGAGATGGAAAAAAAGAGCCAACTAACCTTCACTTTTATCAGCAAGATCACAGCAGACATTAACTACTTACCAGAAATCTTGCCCAGCGGATTAGGTTTATTGTTCGGACGTTGGAGGGTAAGCATCCTCCAACTCATCAAATCCAACAACAGTGTCTAAGTGTGTTCAGCAGAGGAAGTATAGTAGTTCCCGCAGTCTGGGAAAGCTCAGAGCTTTCATTTCTGTTGGAATTTGCCCACGGCATCCTGCATTTTTATTTGCTAAGCCTGGCAACATTAACTGTGGTTATGAAATAGAATAGTCTTCTTGGTCCCCATATACAGACATACATCACTTAATGGCAGGGATATGTTCTGAGAAATGCATCATTAGGTGATTCTGTCATCTTAACATCATAGAGTATATAAACCTAGATGGTATAGCCCACTACACACCTAGGCTATATGGTATAGCCTGTTGCTCCCAGGCTACAAACCTGTACAGTATGCTGCTGTACTGAATACTGTAGGGGACTGTAACACAGTTGTAAGCATTTGGATATCTAAACATATCTCAATATGGAAAAGGTACAACTTTTGGTATAAAAATTATGGTTTAAAAATATAAAATGGCACACCTATATAGTGCACTTACCATGAATGGAGCTTGCAGGACTGAAAGTAGCTCTGAGTGAGTCAGTGAGTGAGTGGTGAGTGAATGGGAAGGCCTAGGACACTACTGTAGACTTTATAAGCGCCGTACACATAAGCCTAGGCCTACACTGGGTCAGGATCATCAAGATATCACTCAGTCATAAGAATATTTCAGCCCCATTATAAGGTTATGGGACCACCATTGTATATGCTGTTCTTTGACCAAAACATCCTTATGCAGCATATGACTGTATTATATTTACTACATATATATAATATAGTATGTTACCAATATTACATATAATGGACCTAATATCTTAGAATCCTAATATATATAACTTACCCTCCAATGATTTAAAAAAATACCATGTGTATGTCTATACAAATATTTATTATATATGTCTATATACAAATATATATATTACATAGTTGAATGAATAGCAAAGGACAAAGCAAATGGAGGAAAATGTTAACAGTGGGTGGATCTGGGTAAAGAATATATGAATAGCTGGGCGCGGTGGCTCACACCTGTAATCCCAGCACTTTGGGAGGCTGAGGTGGGTGGATCACCGGAGGTCAGGAGTTCAAGACCACCCCGTCACTACTAAAAATACAAAAATTAGCCAGGCATGATGGCAGGCACCTGTAATCCCAGCTACTTGGGAGGTTGAGGCAGGAGAAATGCTTGAACCTGGGAGGTGGGGATTGCAGTGAGCCACGATCACACATTACACTCCAGCCTGGGTGACAAGAGCAAAATCTCTCTCAAAAAAAAAAAAATATATATATATATACACACACACACACACACACACACAATATATAGGTATTATTTGCACTATTTTTATTTTTGTAACTTTGAAATTATTTTTTTCTTTTCTTTTTTTTTTTGAGACTGGGTCCTGTTCTGTTGCCCAGGCTGGAGTGAGGTGGCATGATCATGGCTTGCTGCAGCCTTGACCTCCTGAGCTCAAATGATCCTCCCTCCTCAGCCTCCTGCATAGCTGGGACCACAGTTGCCCGCCACCATACCTGGCTAATTTTTTAATTATTTGTAGAGACAAGGTCTTGCCATGTTGCGCAGGCTGGTCTTGTGTTCCTGGGCTCGAGCAATCCTCCTGCCTCAGCCTCCCAAAGTGCTGGGATTATAGGTATGAGCCACCACACCTAGCCGTGAAATTATTTCAAAATAAAAAAGTTTAAAAGAAAAACCTCCACTGTATAAGAAATACACATTTCTTTATTATTAACAAAAAATCTAGCCAAGCATGGTGGCTCATACCTCTAATCCCAGCATTTTGGGAGGCCAAGGTAGGAGGATCCTTTAGCCCAGGAGTTTGACACCAGCCTGGGCAACAAGGCAAGACCCTGTTTCTACAAAACGACAACAATTTTTTTTTTTTTTTTTTTTTTTAGTTAGCTGGGCATGGTGGCTCAGGTCTGTAGTTGTAGCTACTTGGGAGGGTAAGGCAGAAGTTCCAGGCTGCAGTGAGCCTTGACTGTGCCACTGCACTCCAGCCTGGGCAACAGAACAGGACCCTGTCTCTAAAAAGAGAAAAAAAAAAAAAAAATTAAAAGACTGGAATTTCTCATTCTGTTA